AGCCAAAGCTAGGGACCTTTGTTCATCTCCCTGAGGTTGGGAGACGAAGATTCACATTTCCTTGTTGGTTATCAATGGCATTGTTTATATACTCCTTTACATGTCAAAGGGGTCAAAGGGCAAAGACTGGCATGGAACACTTTGGGGAAGCATTATGCATACCAGAGTAGTGATTCTCTGTCTCTCTCTTTCTCTCTCTCTCAATCTCTCTCTCTCTGTAGGATATGTGTGCATATGTGTGAGTGGGTGTGTTTGCCCTATGTTTACACATAGTGGTACATGTTTGTGTTTGTGCCCATATGAGTCGGGGTTAGAGATCAATGATAGGTTTCCTCCTCTCTCTATACCTTGTTTTTGGATAAGGTCTTTCGCTGAACCTAGAACTCATTGATACAGTAAGACCTGTAAGACAAGACTATCTTACCGGTGACCGCAAATCTCTGCCTCCCTAACACCAGGATTACTGGAATGCAGCTGACATAGACTCTCTATGTGGGTGCTCAGGATCTGAACTCAGGCTTTCATCCTTGCATTGCGAGAACTTTTCTGACTGAGTCATCTCCATCCACAGCCCATGATGCATTTCTTCATAAGATGTAAACTTTACAAGAGGTCCAAGAGGGCCTAAAGTGATACCTCAGCTTGCTGTTGAAGCAAGAGGGTAGGAGTTGATAGGATTGATAAAAAAAGCTGTGTCGGGAACTCCAGTGCTGGGGGCAGTGAGGCAGAGACAGACGGATTGACTCCTAGAGCTCATGGACCAGCCACTCTTGCTGCTGAGTTTCAGGTTCATTGGGAGATCCAGTCTCAAAAAGTAATGTGGAGAGAGATTGGGGATGGGGATGACATCTGAGGACAAACTCTGGCCTGCACACATACCTACCTGCACATGTGAATATCTACATACACACACACACACACACACACTTGCACACACACGCGCGCACGAAAGAGAGAGAGAGAGAGAGAGAGAGAGAGAGAGAGAGAGAGAGAGAGAGAGAGAACACAAGAAATTCATAAGAGGATGAAGAAAATTTAGCTTGTTTAAAGTTTAGATGATGGAGTGACATCCAGTAGCTGATGGAAGCAGAGGCAGACACCCACAGCTAAACACTGAACGGAACTCCTGGAAACCAGTTGCAGACAGGGAGGAATGATGAGCAAAGGGGTCAAGACCAGGCTGGAGAAACCCATAGAAACAACTGGCCTGAACAAGGGGGAGCTCTTGGACCCCAGACCGACAGCTGGGAGGCCAGCATGTGACTAATCCAGATCCCCTGAACGTGGGTATCTGTGAGGAGGCCTCGACAATCTATGAGACCTCTGGTAGTAGATCAATATTTATCCCTAGTACACTAATGGACTTTGGGAGCCCACTCCACATAGAGTGATACTCTCTCAGTCTAGACACACATGGGAGGACCTAGGTCCTGCTCCAAATGATATGACAGACTTTGAAGATCCCCCATGGAAGGCCTCACACTCCCTGGAGAGCAGAAAGGGGACTGAATAGAGGACCAGTGGAGGGTAGGGTAGGAGGGGAGGTAGAAGGAACTTGTAAAACAAGCTTGTTTCTAATTTAAATTAAAAAAGGAAAAAATAAAGTTTAAATGAAAGTGTTTGCATCTTAAACAGAATTTAAGAAGCAATAGGAATGTTAGCACCTGGCATTTGTAAGACAAAAAATAAAAGACCCAAAGACAGATAATGGGGTTCAAGTTTCAAGATCAGAAAAGCAAAGCATCTGACCACTGCTCTTACTCTACCTCAGACTGAAAATTGATCCTGTCTCCCCCAAACCTCAGATTTCAATCCCATACTGCTATGCTTTCCTCAACATGGCTAGAGAATACTGAGACTGAATGCCAGCTGTGAGACCTTACTCCTGTCTTATGTACCTCCCTAATGCTGGGATTAAAGGTGTATGATCCCAGGTGCTGTCATCAAAGGCATGAGCTCTTTTATGCTTCACTCTTGTGTAGGCTATGGTGGCCTTAAACTGAGATCCCATCTACCTCTAAATTCTGAATCCTGAGATTAAAGATGTCTGCCACAACTGCCTGGTCTCTATATCTTGAGGCTGACTTTGCTTTCTGAATCCCCAGGCAAGCTTTAATAAATTATAAATAATATATCACCACAAACATCAGTAATTTTTTTCTCAAAAACTGTCAAGTGAATCTGAAAGTACCATTACACCCATACTTGTCATAAGAAAATGAAAGTTTTAAACTGACAGCTGAGAAGAGAAAATTGACAAATGTATCTAATAATAGCTAATGAGTATTCAGACTGGAAAAACAACCCTTCCAGAAAATGTTATAAGTAATTGTTTTTGTTGCTGAAATGGGTAGGCCTTCTTTCCCTGATTACACATCAGGGCTGGGAGACAATGTGAACAGAAAGGAGTCAAGTATGGTCTCTGAGAAATCATGCCAAATATTAGACCTTCAGGAAATACAAGGCATTGGTTTTAATCTATTCTAGTCAGAGGTTTTGACAGTAACTTTGGCAAAGATGCCCGAACAGATTTCTTAAAACTGTCTTGCTACTAATGAGGAGAGAATAAATAAAAAGTATATTTTCCCAAATTTGAGTGATTATTAATTCCTGCTATGAGAACTCATCAACATGTTATTGATATTGATACTAATTATCACTATAAGATGGTCTTAAAAGGAAAAGAAAGGTGGACAGTTCCTGGAATTTTTTTGTGTATACTGTAGTTTGGATATACAGTATTCCCATCAGAGGCTTGTGTGTCCAGATGTTGGCGCTATTGAGAGATCATTGGATCTTAAGACTCCTAGATCCCACCTCTTATTGAAAATAATTTCTTTTCTCATACAATATATTGTGATTACAGCTTCCCCTCCCTCTACTAGTCAGAAGTGCTTCTCCCCTCCTCTTCCCTCTCCTCTGGATCCACCCCATTTCTGTCCCTCATTAGGAAAGAAAAGGCTTCTATGAGGTAACAAGCAAACATGATCAAATAAAACATAATAAGGTAAAGCAAAAACTATTATCCAAGTTGAACATGGCAACCCAACAGGAGGAAGAAAGTCCCAAGAACAGGCACAAGAATCAGAGTCCTACTTATTGTCATGGTCAGGAGTCCCATAGAAATACTAAGATAATAGCTGTAATATATATGCTGAAGATCTGGTTCAAATTCATGTAGGTCCAGTGTTTGCTGAATCAGACATAAAGGGATCATACGTGCCTTCCTTAGTTGATTCAGAGAACCTTGTTCTCCTGGTATCCTTCATCTCCTCTTGCTCTTACAATCAATTTGCCTCCTATTCCACAGGATTTACTGAGCTATAAGGGGAGGAATCTAATCATGATCTCCCACTTAGACCCCCCCTGCTTTCTCTGAGTAATGTCTGGTTGTGGATCTCTGTATCTGTTTCTATCTGCTCCCAGAGGAAACCTGATGATGACTGTATAAGAAATTGACCTAAGAGTAGAGCAAAATATCATTAGGGATCATTTTATAAGACAAGTAGTATTTGGTTTTACTGTTGGGCTCTAGGATACCTAGTTTCTAGTTCTTGGTTACCCAAGCAATGTCGGGTATGGATTCTTGTGGAGTGGGCCTTAAGTCAAATCAGACGTTGGTTGGCTGCACCCACAAGTTCTGGGTCATCATTGCAATTACCATACTTAGTTGCCAGGAAAGAACAGAGGCCAAAGTTTAAGTGGCTGGATTGGTGTCCACTTTTCTCTTTCAGTAGTCTGCAGAGTATCTTCCTACATCAAAGAGACTAGAATGTAAGGGTGGAGGCCCATAGAGGCTCCAGCTCAATTTCTCCAAATTCAGTGAGTTGTGAGGGTGTTGTCCTTAGCAATGGATCTCTCATGTCAGTGTGAAAAAGGCAATCCCTTGTCTCAGGAAAAGTCTGGATTGCTTAGGGATTTCCATGGGACCCAGTTGGCCAACAATTAATTGAATGCAACCCAGTCTCACCACTGGAAGCTTTGCTGGGCTACAAGAGACATCCAGTTGAGACTCCAAATCCCCCATTGCTAGGAATCCTCATTAGGATCACCTTCAAGATTCCAGGAAGCTTCCCGCGCACTGTCTTTCCACTCCATTCCCCAATCACACCAAATTCCAGCTGTCTCTCCCTGCACTCCCTCCCACCACCCGATCTCCTCTCCTACCAATCCCCTTGCTACCATCCTCAGTCATCTCTTTTCGTCAGTAATAACTATTCTATTTCCCCTTCCAGGGAGATCCACACATCTATATGATTTTTTTCTCAGAAAGGTAGGAATCCATATACCTCAAGACTCAGATATACTACTCTTGGGCATATAACCAAAGAATGCACATCCTACTACAAGGACACTTGCATAACCATGTTCATTGCAGCTTTATTCATAATAGCCAGAAAATGGAAACAACCTAGATGTCCCTCAACAGAAAAATGGATAAAGAAAATTTGATGTTGTTTCATCTATAATCCATAAGTATGCTGCACATTTTAGTGGTATCTTGTTATATTTTCCATTTCATTAATTGTTTTTCTTCTATTCAGTTTGGTTAAGGACTAGTCAATTGTGTGTGTGTGTGTGTGTGTGTGTGTGTGTGTGTAGTGGGGGAACTGAAGTTATAGGTTTTGCTGAGCTACCTACCATGGGTACTGGGAACTGAACTCTGGTCCTCTGCAAGAATAGTGTGCACATTTGATGACTGAGCCATGTCTCCAACCTCTCATGTGTTTGCTTTTGCTTACTTTTTAAAAATTCCTTTTGATTGATATATCCTTTGTATTATTCCTTTAGAATCTGTTTTATTAACTTTAACTCTGACTCTTATTATTTTTCTTCTATTGGTTTTGAATGCAGTTCTTTCTTGCTTCATTTGAGCTGAATAAATCAGTTATTTACCAATACCTCTGTTTTTTAATACTTTCAGATGTCAGCTAATTTTTTAAACAACCTTAGTTGTTGTCAACACCATTATCATTTTGAGTTTTTAGGAGTCTCATTACATTACTTTTTATGTGTTCCAAAACTCTTACTGAATAGTGAGCTCTGGGTGGCAAAGGGGTTTTTTTGCACCTGCTATTGAGACCTTGTCCACCGTTTAACACAAACATACTCAGGTGGTATCTTCAACTTCTGTTTTAAATACAATCACTCACAGATACAAAACTTGGCTGTGTCTGACAGACAGATTGTTTTTGCGTTCCCACTGCCATTTGACTCTAGGCATTTTGGAAGATCCTTTCAGATTTCTTCAACAACAAACTAATCATTCAATGGTATCACCCAGTCCAACTTAACATTATGTGAGTGTGACATTAACACTTTTATATTTGAAATGCTACCTTGAGTTATAGATTGGTCTAATGTCATGTTATTATTAAAAATTACTCTGTATCCAAGTGCAGATCTGACTCTAACATCTATGCATTTATCACAAGCAGCTGTTTTATTACCCCAGGTTGTCTCAGGAGGCAGCACAGGTTACCAGAGCTCACTCTGCTTGGAGAAGACAGGTTCTTTTACTTTTCAGTTAATTCTAAAAGATTTGCAAAACAACTTTAGATGAAATAATAAATATGAGTATCTTCCTTGGACAAAACCAGTGAATTTTAGGAAACCATTTTTTTTTTTACTTATAAGAGAGGTCCACTTGCATTTGATTTCAAGCATCTCTTCTGAGACATAAATTTATGCCAGCCTAGCCTCTTCTGAATCCACTTTTAAATACTGCTTTGATTTCTTTTGTCCTTTTATGCCCTGTTCCAACTAAATTCACAACACATTCCTAGATTGGTAATGTAATTAAGAGCCCAGACACTGAAATCAAACTGCCTGTTGCCAATCCTGTATCTATTGCTTAATAGTTGTTTGAGTCAGGAAAATTTTAAATCATTTTTTTAACCTTAGTTATCCCAGATGAAAAAACCTAAGGTATAACTAGTGAGTACTTCACCATGTTGAAATGTTCTTGATCAAATGGGTAATTACACATATATGATATTATACGTATATATTTTGCAAAGTAATACACAAAATATTTACATAACAAAGAACAGTGGATCAAGATAAAATTTAAAAAGAACAATAGCTATTTCAAGTAGGATATATTTAATATAAAAGAGAGAAAATAATGGTCTTGTTTGACCATGGTAACTCATATAAAGAAAACATTCAATTGGGGTGGCTCGCTTACAGTTTCAGAGCTGCAGTCCATTGTCATCGTGACAGGGAACACGGTGGAATGCAGGCAGATGTGGTGCTGGAGTAGCGACTGAGAGTTCTACATCTTGCAGGCAACTGGAATCTGACTGAAACACTGGGTGGAATCTTGAACATAGGAAACCTCAACACCACTCCCCCCTCCCCCGTGACACACTTCTTCCATCAAGGCCATGCCCACACCAACAAAGCACACCTCCTAATAGTGCCACTTCCATGAGATTTGGAAGCCAAATTAGATTCAAACTACCACAGAGCTAGAGGTAGGCTTCTCTGGGAAAACTATTCAGAAAATGTTAAACTATACAAAAAGAGTCAACAATTTGAAGACAATTCTAAAGTAGAAAGGAATCAGATCTCCATTCAGTCTCTTCATATCTCTTTAGAATTTTTCATAATTTTCTCTCTTTGCATTTTATAATACAGTCAAGAGGAGCTAAGAAGTTTATTCAAGTTTTTGTTAAACATTTCCTTAGCTAAATATCCAATTTTATTGTACCAATGCTAGTTTCCATGAAACACTAGCACACAATACAATCTAGTCAAGTGTATACCACTTTATAATCAGGATTGCTTTTTCTCTATTGTCCAATAACATATTCATTGTGCTTAACTGGGCTCTTTTCAAATGACCTTTTACCATTCACACTTCTACCTGCATTCTGTTGTCATTTAGGTGTTCTCGGAGGAAACTGAATCTTTCTGTACAGCCTGACATTTCTTTTTGAGCTTGCACCACGATTACCATTAAAGTCCCATCTGTTGTAAGCTCGGCTTTTCCTAACAAGTTTCTCAAAACTACATTTCTATTTGTTATCCATTTTCAAGGCAGTCCCTATATGTCTTTGATATTTGTGGTTGCATTATCATCCTTGCCTATTAAAACTGTCTACATTATATTATAAATACACTGACCTATTATTGATGACAGCAAGTCAATTGAATGTAACTCGATATCCTGTAAGATCTATGTCTTTCAGGGGTTGAGATAAAGTCTTAATTTTCACTGAGGCATTTGTAGTAATGCTATCTGTATATATTATATTATCATCAAATAAGGCTGGTAAACATTTGTTTCTCAAAATGTTAATCATCTTAAAGATTTATTTTTATTATTTGTAATTGTGTGTATGTGTGTATATCTGTGTGAGGTTATGTGCATGTGAGTGCAAGTGTCTGTGGAGGCAAGAGGCATCAGATCATATTGGAGCAAGAGGTAGAGGCAGTTATGAATCACCTCTCGTGGGTCCTGGAAAATGAATCTGGGTTCGCTGCAACAATACGCTATGCTGAATATTAGACCATACCTCTAGCCCCAATATTAATTATTCTTGTGTATTAGGGATTTTATACTCTTCTCATCACTTTAAGTCATATATTGTTTTATCAGTCTGTGCTACAGGAAACTAGAAGTAATTTGTCCTCTCTAACTATAGCCCTTTATTGAACTTCTTCCCATCTCTTAGTTTTACATATTTTGAAGCTCTTATTGAGCACTATTCCACTTTGTGCAATGAGATCAGCAGTTTTGTTTCCACAAATGTGAGAACCTGTGGTGTTTATCTATGTGTGTCTGGATCATTTCTCTTGAAATATCTCATTGAATACAGGAACTTACCACAGCTGTGATATTTTAAAGGTTTGATGATTCTGGGGGTTTGATGCATACTCTTAGAAAATAAGGCCAGTTTCACCTTCCACTCTCAAACATGAGTCCACGACAGATTCTTTAGATTTTGGACAAAGCATTAGTCATACTTGAAAAATACCATTTAAAGGCAGGTATTTATTTAATTAACATTGAAAACAATCCATTCCAGGAGTGTAGTCATTACAGTCCAAAGAGTTTAAAATAAGATATAGGTGTGTTACATTATGTTTATATTGTGATTCCTATTTCAATATCATCAGAAAACTAATCAACATTTATGTTTGCCTGCACACCCTGGTAACACTTCAGCTTGTGGACATCATTAAGAAAACACAGTAAGAAGACCTGAAAGGCTAAAAATAAATAAGTACTTATAGGGACATAATCTCTGACACATAAGGTTATGTACTTGTAAAACTGACATTAAATATCATGAAATTTTGGAGGTAAAGAAACCTACATTGCTTTAAGTTATGAAAAGCCATTGCACTGAAATGACAAACTTGTTGCCTTATTTTTCACTGAAAAACTTTAGATTGGAAAAGAAGTGGTATGCAGTCAATGGAAAGAATGCCCATGCACACTGCTATTACAAAGAACAGTGCCTATATACTCTTTTCCTATGCATATTCTATTTCCTTACAGATAAATTCCTATAACTCAAATTGGTCCAAGAGTTCCATAACACATTTTAAAAATCAAATTACTCATATAGGCAAACTTACAAACTAAAACATTTTCTAGAATACCACAATACCCATAATGTTGTGAGTAGAGACAAGCAACCCCTCAAAGTAGAATTATGAGCTATCATGTGTGATAAAGGAGACATTAACAGAAACATTAACTTTATCTTCTGGTTTGTTGTCCCTGAATGCTATTTGACTGAGAGGTAACAGCTGAGTAAGATCTTATTCGGGAAATAGGAGACAGGAGAACCATGTGTGCGAAGTATTTAGACCTAAGAGTGTGGAACAGTAGTTCACATGGAAGGTAAGAAGTTAAAAGTAAGAGGTCTGGACTGCTGAGTAGGGACAGGGTACAGACAGACTTGTGCCACTAGGAAACGCTGGGAATTGTACCCTAAGAGCATTGGGAGTTCCTGGAAATGTTTTATCCATGATATATGGTGACATTTGTGCTTTTAAAATGTTACCTTTTCAGATTAAAAAACAGATTACACCCAGAAAACCACCTCTGAAGGGAAGTGTTAGAAGGCTCCCAGCAGTAATGAAGGTTGATATTCAGAGCACAGCCGTCAAAGGGAGGAAGGAACTAAAGTGAGATGCATACTTGGAAAGATTTGAAATGGATGACACTAACAACAAGGATAGGGAAAAGGGGGTTTTCAGGAAGATGGATAAATGTATAGTTTGCAATAGTAGGTTAAAGTATGGTATTATACACCTGGACATGGTGGTACATGCCTACATGTACCACCATGTACTACAGAGTGATCAGAAACACAAGGTCAGCCTTAGTTACATATTATGTTTGAGTCTAGATTGTGTATATGAAACTATATCTCAGAAAAAAACAATTGTGTTTATAATAATATGAATACTGTAAGGTTGTCAAGTTTCCAGGTGAAAGTTATGAGTCTATTACTTAACATTTTATACTGGCCAAAGACCTCACAATACTTAAAACTCTAGTATTTATGATTTGAAGATTAATAAAATTACACTGAATTATCTCTATGTAAGGCAGATCTTACACTTAAAAATTACACAATCAGTGAGGAAATACACATGTCAACCTGTCATTTCTATCAACTATTTGAGATGTTATTTTAGAAGCAGTTTAAAGTGATGTAGAAACAGGAAAAACATGTTTCCTTGTGTAGTTCCAAGAGATATTGAGACCACATTAACATTTAAGCTGCTTCTTGAAATATAAATGCAATTAAATGGAGGAAGTTGTTTTTGTTGCACACCACTATTGATTCTTTAGGGAACCATTTTCCAGAGGAGTATGATTTTATAGAGATTTTATCGTTCATTGTGAATGGACTGAAATGAAAATATATTTTCAGGTACTGCAGAGTGGATGCCATTAGTTCATTCAACAAACATGTACTTAGCATTTCTTTTGCATCCACCACTATTTTAGGTACTGAGGATGTGGTAGTTAGTTAATAAAGCAGATAAATTCCTTCCCATGGTGTTGCTGCTATAGCAATATAAAGGGGATCAAATAAACAAGTTAAATACACAGTATGTTAGTTGCAATTAATGAAGAGCATGTGTGAA